AAGCTATAATGGTTCCTTTTAGCTGAACATATCAACTTCATTTTTCTTAGCACTTATCACAGATTAGTCCTATGTTCCTCCACCCTTTCAAAAAGGGGTCCATACATCTTAACTGCATGCTATATAATAAATCCAGACATTTCAATTTCAAGTAATTTAAAAAAAGCTTTCATTTCAAGTTCTGTATGTTTAAGTGACAGCCAATCAGATGTAGCCGGTTAATTAATTGAATGGCTTAAATCTCAAAATCTGTATGCCAGTTAGCACTGAATAACAGCATCGAGATCATAATACTAGCAGCGACAGTTCAGAGATTATTTCAAGTGTGCTAGTAGGGGAAATTGATAGTTGAGCCAGTATATAACTGCACGTATACCTGATGCAGACCAAGCCGTCCTGTCTCAGAGTAAAAGTTGACAATGCAAATATCTGGATTCATCCGAGGAAGGATGTCTTCAGCATCAGAAATATCAGAATCTTTACTTATGAGAGCAAGTGAATCTAGCATAGCTCTATCAACCAACTCAAGGAATTCAGGGGGAATACGAGGTGGCTTAGACTTATCTATTCGTCTTCTTTCCTGATACTTCCTTGTCTGAGGATCCCAATCAAGACCAAGGCACATCATATGCATTCGGAGTTTTGCTCCATATTTGTAACCAGGTTGATAAAACCCCCCACGACCAATTCCAAGTTCCCTACATTTCCTTACTATAGAAACCTGGAACAATACACAGAATGAGGGTTAAAACTAAGGAACCAAAATGGACATACAAAACAATAAAACGCGCACAAGATTTGTAGGTAAAATAATTCATTCAGAATCAGTCCCTTGAAAGCAGATTCATACATGGTGCTTGCAATAATTTAACAGTAACAATATGATTTAATTTGAAACTTAGCTAACAGGGTTTTCAACTGTTCATCTAAAAATATGGGGGTACCCAATGAACAATATGGAAGAATTTGAAACTAGAACATGTAATGAAGTTTCAAGTGCTGAGCTGATATGGCGCTTGATATGGTTCTTAGCTAGTGAGCTACTGAATCTTTACTCCACCTTTAAGACTTCTGTTTGTGCTTAACAATCTGACATAATTAATCTTAATAGAAATTTAGATGCTTCATTTCAGGCCTAAAACACAAAATTTTCAGTATTAGTCAAGCCTAAGGACATATTGTAAACTTGTAACACATATACTCCATACAATATATGTGTTGAATGCTAGTACAGTCTTAAATTTATGTTCTTAAATAGATAGGGGTTTCGAAAAAGTTTTCAAGTATGACAAGGTCTAGTAAATCACCTGTTCACTATCGGAGATGTAACTCTTCAACAAGACCATCCCAGGCCGCAGCACTCTTTCCCTAGGCTCCTCACCTAGCTTATCCATCTCAGGCTCTTCTGCTTCATCGAAAAAGTCTCGAGGCTGTCTCAGAAACATAGAATCATTGACTTGAGGCTGGCAGATGTCGAATACTTCAGCAGGGCCACAACTCATGTTCTCGGAGTATTTATTCCTAGTACTACCGCCATCTTTCAGACTATGTTTGATGGATTTTGGCCTCTTGGACTGTGGTTGCTCACGCTTTCCAAAACTTTTCGGCAAAGAGTGTTCCTCCAATACGCGTGAACATTCTACATCATGCAAATAATTACTCTCTTTCACGTATCCCTCTCCTGAGCCATCACAACCAGAACTCACAGATGGCAAAGAACATGTATTTTCACGATTAACATCTCCAACAGGAGGGTGCTGAGGTTGCTCTGAACAAGAAACTGACATCTCCGAACTAGAAGGTCTAGCCTGTCGAGTCACAGTCGTAACAGAAGGCTGGTCGTTAGTTCCAGATAAGGAACCACTTGTGATGTTATTTGTAGCCATAGCTGAGGCATTAGGGCGCCGCTGCTGGCTGGTACCTAGACCCAGATGTTTCAAAACGGCAGCTTTACCAAAACTTGATATTCTCCTTTGAACTGTTTTTCTGCTGACAGGGGCTTCTTGATTGCCAATAGAAGTGTCATTGCTTGTATTCAACTCAACCTGCTAATAATCATCAATCCAATTTTATTATTATGTCTAATTTGAAAGTACTTGTTTTCCAAAGAATGACCTTCAATCCAAAACATTGATAGTAGTCATGTATCATATACATACATAAATTTGTGAAAATGACAGTAAAATTTACAATTTTCTTTGTTAATGATGCCTAGGATTTGTGATATACTGCTATTATACAGAAAGGCATGGTCATACATACTGACAGTTAGTTAGGCAAATAACATAGATGATCTCCCTGCCTGAATCTGCCCCATCCTGCTAAATTGCGCCTACCAAACGAGTTGTTAAGTGTTTGGTGTTTGCCATGTTCTCAATATAATCGAATTTTAATGACTTAGGGGAGAATTTCTAACTGAAAGACTGAGATATAGATACTTAATTACTAGTATGTGTTCATTACATAAGCAAATTACATTATTACAAGTACTTGATGAAAATATCATTCTTAGTGTTGCACATAAGCAATATATACATTTTTTAAAAACTATGGTATCCAATACTCCATATTGATTTAGGAATGCACACAACCACGTGTCAATCAGCATTATTGATGTTTGACTGCTGCTAATATTATCAATTTCACCTCGTTACAATTGTACCTCGTGCATGGTACTATAAAGATTATTTATTTGCTCATGTTCGTGTACGATAGTATCTTGTAAGCAAATGGGCAAAAAATGACCTTGATTGTACCATTCAACCGGTTGTAAATTTAACATAGTAGTTTCGATGGAACAAAGTGTTAATCTCCAAGAAAGTAGAAGCTCCTTTAAGACTTTAAGCATTAACAATTTCTCAACCCAATGCAATACTATTATCAATTTGACACCCAACCCAATTATTTCATCAAAAGTTTCAATCAAATTATAAGCTAATTTGCCTTAATTTGATAGAAAATGTGTCAATTTGAACTAATTTTTATACTTACAAAAATAAATGTCTATTAATAAATGTATAATTTCTCAAATACATTAGGATATATCATAAACAATCAAAAACCATCTAATAGGTTTTTTTGGGGGGCAAATTTTAATCTCAACAAATGACAAATTCAGTATGAAATTCTTGAATTAATGGAAATTAATTGACTCAAGAACAGGAAGATAAATTCAACAAATTAAACCAAAATTAAGATAGTTTAAAGTAAAAGACTTGCGGAAAAGCGAAAGCTACTTACATGGGTCATTGTTCTACACATGTACGGAAACACGAGTACGGAACGGAAGACAGGTAATCGCTGAAGCATAATACGGTGCCGTTTTTATGGGAAGATGGTAGAACTACTTTAGGGGTACTTGAAAGAGTTCGAAGTGTTCAAACTTGAATTTTAATTTTGTTTGGAATTTTAGTGCACAAAATTTTGGGTAGAAGTAAATGAGCCTTGCTAATGTATTCAGTATGTTTTTACTTGGGCTACTTATCTCATTATAATCCAATTGCTAAGATTTGAACTCATAAAGTCATAATAATCCTTATGTTGAGATTTTAACTCTTTAAAGTTTGGTCCAAGCTACATTAAAGGCTTTGTTCAGTACTAGGGACTGAGGTAGAAATTGGATAGCGGTAAAGGGTAGAGGTAGTGTTTAGATATCTAATCTAACAACCCGTCTTGTGTGTGGCCTAACCATACCGTGTGACCACTTATAAAAGAACAAAGTAACTTATATAAAACTGACCAAGTAACCCGTATAATACTAATTGAGTAACCCCTATAACACTAATCGAGTAATCCTAAAGCATTGACGAAATAACTCTTTAACACTGGCCAAGTAACCCCTATGACACTAACGAAGTAACCTCTGTCACACGGTGTGGTCAGCCACATATAAGACTTTGTGCTAATCTAAAACGTTAAAAATAGTAGTGTTTCAAAGGTACGGATAATGTGTTAAAATTTAGTTACTTTATTAAACAATATGTATGGATTTTAACATATTTTAGTAGAACCATAATTTTTGTCAAGCACTCGTACTATCAACATTACTTTAACAGCTAACTTTTACTCACAACTAATTGGCATATACTCGCTATTTTGTCAGTTATCTGCTACTCAACCACTAAAAATTATCCGTCACCGTTAATTCCGAACACGACCTAGTAACCATCCGTTTCTTTTCTATGGTTATATTTTTTTTGGACATTTTTTTTCCTTTAGTTACATATCTACTCCCAATAATATTTTAACATATTTAGCCTCATATTATTTATTTCTAATGCAACTATTCTCATTTATTAAAATGTTTACATAATTCCAAGACAACTATTCTCATTTTACTCATTTGGAAAGTATTTTTCTTAAAACTAACGATAAAACCCAAATGTAACCTTAGAATGAAACAAGGAACTAAGAAGGGAAATAATTTTAGCACACCCTTAATTGATTTTGGTACACCCTTATGTGAGATTACAATTTTCTATACTCTTCTCAGATCAATAAAAGGTGTGCCAAAATCAATTTCTAAAAATCAATTTCTAAGTACTTTCTATAGACTTTGTACAGTTAAATTGATACAGTACGAGTATGTTATTAGTATGTTATACGTCACTTTGGCGTAAGACATATGTCATAATCCATGGTCACTAATAAACAAAAAGTACTCCATTATATATCCATGCCCATCAATTCATATACTTTGAAGAAGCCCACACTTGATAACACTCCACAAATTTACAAGATTTTGGGTCCCAATTTCCAATCATCCCAAAATATGCATGAAAATCACACACATAATTAATCTACTCCATATTTCTTATGTTAAAATGAAAATCATGTTGTACTAATTCTGCGTTGTTTAGTTGTTTAGTATGAGTATGTAATGTTTCAAGAATGTTTTAAAAATGATTATGACATGTTAATCGTGTTGAATCTTGTTAAATTTGTCTTAATTCATATTATTGATTAATTTATAACTTGAATTTTTTTTTTTATATATATAATTTTTTTAACTAATAAAACTAAAATTGTATCAAAATGTAACAAATAATATAACACGAGGACGTTATAATCAATCCTTTATGAAAACGACTATTCTGTATTATACATTGTAATTTAGACTACAATATCCCGTTGTATCATAAAGTAATTTTTACCCGTTCATTAAAAAAAAAATCGACAAATTAGCTGGCCGAGTGGCTTCTGTGATTACCATATGCAGCACAACAAGATCTCCCTATTGATAATGCCTCCCACCATAGCTAAAAGTAACCTCTTTTTGGTACGACAAACATCATTAATAAACACATAAACTTTCATAAACTGTACACAAGCAGAATTATATTACTAGACAAAACCAGACAAAAACTTTTTTAAAATATAAAATGATAAAATAAAGGATAGAAAAATTAAAAAGTAACAAACTTTTAGTTATTTTTTGACCCCAAAATACGTACCCACCAACCTCAACAATCTATCTAGAAAAAAAACATTTAAATGTTTCTACTAAAATTCATAAAAATACTGCATAACAGTATAACAAATGAAATTATTCTATACATTATGTTACATAATTTTGGTATTTTTTATGTTGATAATATTAGGATGTTGTAAGTCCAACAATGTTTCAGTTGGTTATACGTTCACCTTAGCAATTCCTAGTGATTATAGTGAAGATTTCAATGGGAGGGCTTACTTGATGGAAACTGATCAAATGCCGCTCAATTTCAGGACCGCGGTGAGCGTTGAGGCTATGGATGGCCGGTACGTGTGCTCGTTACAAGTTTTTCTAGGTAGTGTTATGGTTTGGAGTTCAGGGCATATTTCTAAGTTTTATACATCTGATAGTTGTGTGCTCGAGTTCACGAAAATGGGTGATCTTCGGTTGAAAGGGCTTAATGATGATGTTGGTTGGCTTACTGGGACTTCTGGACAAGGTGTGCAGGTAACTAACACTTATACTCGTGTAATTTGAATTGTTTAGAGTTAACATCGACTAGATTGTTAGTATTGGATTACTCGATATCAAATTTATTTGTACATTAATATGCAATATGCAAAATTAGGTGTAGAGGATGCAACCCAATCTATGGATGGGTCGATTTAATCTAGATAGGTCATATTCGAGGTTATAGCCGATAAGCTATTAGGTATGGCTTGAGTTTTAGTTTTGTGATTTAGATTAGGTAATCAGGTACGAGTCAGTTTTGTCAAGTCTGTATATTTCCAGTTAGCTTAGAAAGTCACATTCTGTTTTATTTGTAGCCTTAGAACTAGACCGAATCCTGAAATCATTTTTATTTGTTGCAGAAATTGCAGTTGCTTGACAGTGGAAATTTAGTCCTAGTTGATGCTCAAGAAAACATAAAGTGGCAAACATTCAATTTTCCAACAAACATCTTACTCTTGGGGCAGAGACTAAGTGTAGCTACTCACTTGACCTCATTTCCTACTAACAAATCTTCGAGTTCGTTCTTTTCATTTGAAATTCACCATGACAAGGTTGCACTCTACCTGAATTCAGGCAGTAACAATAACAGCAACAGCTACAAGTATTCCTACTGGGAATTCCAACCTTCCGAAAGCAGAAACATCACCTACATCGAGTTAGCTTCAAGAGGGTTGGAGTTCTTTGATGACAAATTCCGAAACTTCTCTCAAATTTTTGCACCTTACCAAGATGCAGCGCGATTTCTAGCCTTGGATAATGACACTGGAAACCTCGGTCTTTACTACTACTCACCCTACAAGGACAAGTTAGAGGCATCATTTCAAGTCCTAAATACTACTTGTGATCTTCCCCTGGCTTGCTCTGCCTATGGAATTTGCACATTTTCTAGGACTTGTTCGTGTATTAGAATGTTAGCAAGGAAGCAAGATAGTTCAATCGACGAATGCAATGAAGAGTTTATTACAGGAAATCAGTGTGGCAAAGATGAGGTATGGATCATGCTTGAGTTAAAAGATGCTGATAGTTTACTAAAAAATGCTACTTCAATGAGTAATAGTAGCAAAACTAGATGCGCGAATTCTTGTTTAAATGAGTGCACTTGTGCAGCTGCATTGTACTCATCGCGTACTAGGGAATGCATGTTCTTAGATGTGGTTAGAGGGGTTAGACAGGTTAATCGAGGAAGCGGGTTGAGTTACATGGTTAAGGTTCCGAAGGGAAGATTTGGGAAGCATAAGAAGAGTGGTTTGAAGAAATGGGTTTTGGTTTTGATACTTGTTGGTGATGGAATGGTTTTGTTTTTGGTACTTGGAGGTCTTGGGTATTTCTTGGTTTGGAAAAGGAAAAAGAGGTTGAGGGATGGAAATTGTTCTTCCTAACATAAAAATGTAAGTGATCCTAGATTTTGGGATGTTATTCTTTCATTTTAAAGTGTTCATTTTGATGTCAATGAACAAATTTTTGATAGTTTAATTGGGTCAAAACATTGCAAAAATAAAAATTACTATTGGTTGTAAAAAGTTAGTGTACGTACTTGTTGCTTTTGTTTGGAAGCCTAAGTTGCTTACGCACTTGATTGATTCATTGAGTAATAGGCCAATTTAAGGCTTTAATTAATACTGGTATAAAGGATAATTTGACTCATACAAGCAATTATAGAATAGGACTTAAAACAATAAGGGACCGTTTGGTTGGGGACTTGGGGTTAATAATCAAAGTGAATGAACATGTCTGATTCCTTTTGTTGATATATGTTTGTCATTTTTAATCATTCCCTTTACCCATTTTTATTTTTAAGTTTACCCAAAATCATTCTACTTTGATTATCCCTCCTCTAGCCTTTTCCATTCCCTTTCCTTTTCCACCTTACTCCACCATATCCACACCAACCACCACCTTTCTACCTTACCCCTACTGCACAACCACCACCTAGCCAACTCGCCGCCCCTTCCCCGGCCATCGCCGCCCCTCCCCTGCCCCCGATAAGCTTGCACCTCCTTGAAAAATTTTCCCCACCCTTCGTCAGAAGTTGCTGGACTTGGTCGCACCTCCCCTAACCCTCGCCGGAGGTCATCACAAATTCCCATCCTCGCAGGAAGTCGTCGCACATCTTCCCGCGTCCCGTCCTTATTACCAGAATACTAGCCACCGCCGGAGAGGGAATTGATAAAATCCTAGATATTTGGGGAAATTGGAGGAGAGAGAATTGGAGTGAGGTTGAAGCTTGAAAACCCTAATAATGGCGATTGAGGAGAAAGAAAGAGGAGTGAGGTGTGACGAACTCCGGCCAGATGGTGAATCCTTCTTTAGAGTATTTGCGGGGATGGGGGAAGGTTTTACTGGGCGGCGAGGGGTGGGGGAGGTGCGACGACCGGCGACAAGGGGTGGAGAAGTTTCAACGATGGGTGGCGAGTGTTGGTGAGGTCGTGGCTGGAGAAGAAGGAAAGATGGGCTGTGTGGTGATGGTGGTGATACCCTTTGTTTTTGTAAACCAAACAACATACTACATGAAAATGGAAGTTATGAGCTCAGAAACGGCTAAACATATCATTGTTCAACAAACTAGTTAAAGAAGTAGTTTATCATTAGGAGAGGCAATGTGGGATATATTAGTTTTTTTTTTTTTTTTTTTTTGACAAAGAGAACTTAAATTACAACAAAAAAACTGAAAAATAAAACAAAGTAAAACTCTACGCCTTGCTGCACCTGCAAGAGAATGAGCTTCTCCAACCGAAGACCTAGAAACCTTACGAATATGACAAGAAGAAAAAGAAGAGATAACATCCCTAATTTCCTGAATTGTCCAGACCAGCGAAATATCCGAAGAAGCATGCTCTTGAATCATCTTAGGAACCGACATACAATCAGTAAGGAGGCAGAGACTGACGACACCTCGTTGCCAAGCATGTTTAAGTCCAAAAGACACGCCAACAATTCAGAATGAAGAGCAGAACTAGCCATACAAGCTCGAGCTCCTCCCCCAATACGACGAGATCGAGAAGAAGACAGATCCAAAAAACACCAGCCCGTACCAGCATTATGATTCCCTCGATCCCAGGCCCCATCAAAACACATCAGAACGTCACATAAAACAGTAGCTTCACCCCTTAACACCTGCCAAGTAGAATAAGACGAGAATCTAGGAGGAATACCAGGACAACAACCAGCAATTTCACGAGCCTTACCACTTCTAGCACTCCACTCCAAAGCCAACTCCAAAATACAATGGGGGGGAATAGACTGCTGAACGAAATCGAACATTATTCCTAGTAATCCAAATAGCCCAACACATCCCGAAGAAACGATCTAAATCAAGCCAATGCTTGGCAGAAGCATAACCAGTAATAATAGAAGTAAACCAATCAGAAAAAAGAAGAGGAACCTCAGGCGAAGGAAAGGAATTACAGGCAATAGAATTCCACAAACACCAAGTAAAAGGACACTCCCGAAATATATGAACCACAGATTCCGAAGATCCATGACAAAACACGCAAGTAGCATCAATCGGAATGCCCCTAAAAGCTAGAACATCTGCCGTTGGAAAGGCATTGTGTAAAACCTTCCAGGCTAACATTTTCCACTTAGGGAGAATGGGAAGACCCCAGAAACGCTTCCACCAAGAGGAATCATTAGTCACATACCTAAAAGAAATTTGTTGAGATACAAGAGCAGCATATGCCGATTTAGTCGAGAAAGCCCCATCCCTAGTATATTTCCAGTAAACAAAATCATCAATCTGCTGCTTTGGACGCTCAAGCCTAAGAATTACTGAAGCAACAGAAACAGGAAAGAGCTGCCTAATTAAAGACGTATTCCATGTCCCAGTATCATGCAGTAATAAATCAGAAACCATCAAAGGACGATCTTCCACAGGAATACAATCCTTGAATTCAACCTGAATATTAGTCACCCAGCAATCCTGTAAAATACTAACCTGGGTACCCGACCCTATCTTCCAGGCCAGACCATGAGATAAAGCTTTACCGCCTTCCAACAAACCACGACAACCCCAAGAAGGATTGGAAATCAAAGGTTTGGAAGAAAGTAAAGAAGGATACTTAGCTTTAAGGACCCGAGAAGCCAAAAGCTGTGGATTAAACCGCAACCTCCATACTTGCTTTGCTAACAAAGCCAAATTAAAAGAACGAATATGACGAATGCCTAAGCCCCCTAAACCTTTAGGGAGATGTAATAGTGAAGAGGAAACCATAGATAGACCCCTAGAATCTTTATTAGATTTCCACCAAAAACGAGACAACAACGAGTCAATTCGATCACAAATAGTAGCAGGAACTTTGAAGACAGAAAGCACATGGTTGAAAGTAGCAATGAGAACAGAATTAATTATTACCAACTTTGCAGCCGCCGATAGCCAGAGAGAAGCAAAGGAAGACAGTCTTCTAACTATCTTATCAACCATAAACTGAAACTCTTTGCACTTCGCACGACCCAAATCCATAGGAAGACCCAAATAGTTGCCAATAGAAGAGCATGAATTCATTCGTAGACTTGCAGATAAGTAGTCTCGATAATCTGCTGGGGTATTGGAACTAAACCTCACAAACGATTTTTGTAAATTAATCATCTGACCGAAACAGAGCAGAACTCATTTATCACTACAATAACCTGGTCACAAGCATCAGGAGATACCTTGAAAAATAATAAAGCATCATCCGCAAAGAAAAAATGAGACACAGAGGGCGCCCTTCTCGAAACACGTAATCCTTGGAACAAACCCTTTTTCTCATCCCGACGCAACATTAGCGAGAAAACTTCCATACATAAAACGAACAGGTAGGGGGATAAAGGGTCTCCTTGACGTAGGCCACATCTAGGAACAAAAGGCAGGGAAGGAGAGCCATTAACCAAAATCTGATAAGAAACCGTTGAAACACATTGTTGAATCAAATGCACCCAATACGGAGGGAAGCAAACCGACGCAGAAATATCCCATAAGAAATCCCAATTGACCCGATCATAAGCTTTATTCATGTCAAGCTTTAACGCCGCAGAACACAGCTTAGAAGAAGTCGTAGACATGTAAGATAACAATTCATGAGCCAATAAACAACTATCCGTCATTAACCTCCCAGGAACAAAGGCATTATGAGATTCAGAAATCAAGGACGGTAACACGCTTCGCAGTCTGTTAGTTAAGCATTTTGCAATACACTTATAAAGCACATTGCATAAACCAATAAGTCTGAACTGAGAAGGAGACTCAGGATGATCTACCTTTGGAAGAAGGGTCAAGAAAGTTCGGTTCCACTTCTTTAGCAAATAGCCACACGCAAAGAAAAACTGAATGGCCTTAACCACCTCTGACCCAACAGTCTGCCAATGCGACTTAAAGAACCCTGAAGTAAAACCATCCGGACCAGGAGACTTATCCGAACCAATATGAAACATAGCATCCTTAATTTCTGAGGCTGAAAAAGGTTGCATCAAGAACTGATAGTTCCCCAAAGAAAGGGTCGGAAACTCTAAATCCTCCCAATCACAAGAGACCACAGCAGGAGATGTATTCTGACAATTATAGAGCAAAGAAAAATGATTAATCAAAAGATCAGAAATCTGATGTTGATCAGAAACCCAATTATCATCACCATCTTTCAAGCTCATAATTTTATTCCTGCGCCGCCGAGCTTGCACAGAACGAAAGAGAATACTAGAATGGGATTCACCCAAAGCATCCCATTTAGTTTTACACCTTTGTCCAAAATAAGAACGCCACCTGAGCATGAGATAAATTATCTTCTCTAATTAGAAGGAAATCACTTCGTGCTTGAGCCTCCTGTAAGTTCAAAGAACCTGAAGTAACAGAAATCTGAAGATCTTGCCAGTCAATACCCCATCTCCTTTTGTTAGAAACACACCAGTTTAACAAGCAACGTTTCACTTCATCCATCTTACGGGAAATAGAGAACATAAGGGAACCTGAAGAAGGATGTTTCCATTCATCTCTGACCAAAGAAAAAATCTCCTTCAAATCCAAACACCAATTCTCAATTTTATAAGGGCGTTTTCTAAAATTGGAAAACCCTACTTCTCGAAGAATAATCGCCGCATGATCCGAAAAAAGAATTGGTTGATGGTAAACAGAGGCCTCAGGAAACATGTCCAACCACGAGGAAGTAGCATAACCCCTATCCAGTCTCTCAAAGGTGGGATTCTGAAGTTGACCATTAGTCCAAGTGAAGTGTGCTAAAAAGGAATGTCCATCAACTGAGAACCTAATTTCCATTCTATAAAGTTATGACGACCAACACTAACAGAGGATCCACCAACTTTATCACTAAAGTACTCAACTTGATTAAAATCCCCCAAAATTACTACATTCGGTACTTTTTGTAAAATTGCAGATATTTCATCCCAAACTAAATATCGAAAATCAACCTGAGGCGATCCATATTCAAATATAATATATTTTATTGCTTGACCAGGCATAACCACCTTGCAAAATATAACATGAGCCGATACATAAATAGGCAAAACAACAACCGGGGCAAACCAAAAAACAACCAAGCCCCCACTAAGACCTACAGCATCTACCCCACAAAAACCATCACAACCTACTAAAGACAACTTATTCATAGCAACATCTACAGAGACTAAAGTTTCCATAAGAAACATAA